CCCAAAACTTTGTCTTCAAAATAAGGGTGTGTCTTATACACCGATGCATCTTATATTCCGAAAAATATGGTATATCAATGTTTTGGTGTTTTGCCTTTATCATCAACTTTTCAATACTATCCTAACACATTACACAGCTCAACTAATTTGGTTAGGGAAACGATTGATTAAAAGAAGAAATTATTTACAAACAATGCATGTGTTTGTTATGGTCATGCATAAAAGTAAAAAAAATTATATTTTTGAACTAGTTAACAATACTGAAATGATTCATTTGAACATGCAACAATTGTTTATCTAAGTTATTTAGACTATTAAACATTTACACTGAAAATAAACTCCAATTTAAATAAAGATTGAGCAATTATGTAATGAAATCAAAGTTGAAATTTAAACATTATCATATATGATAAATAATAAATATCTGTAAACCTCCTTATATGTTTAGTGTTTGGATTACTGCATCTTTGTACTTCTTGTCAAGAAATAGCTTGTCCTTTATGAGCTAATTTTTTATGTATTAGGTTATTTGTGTTTTTTATAGCTTGAAAATAATGTTAAACTTAGAACAATACATGAAAAATGTTTAACAGTGTTTAATAGTACTTCTGGAATTGTAGGTTTTAGTGTTAGAGTAGTATTCAGCCAAACTATATGAGAATAATACTAGAAGCTCATCTTTGTTAAGTTGCTATTTAATATTATAAGTTCTATACAGGAAAGTATTAAAGCATGTGATACTAAGGTTAATGATGATTCTATCTTAGTTTTTGTATGGAACTCTATTACTATTCTCAAAAATATTTCATTGGATTGTCTATGAATGTGGTATGCAGGCATACCATGTTTTTCCTATCCACTTATTTAATATAAAAAGTTCTGTACATATTATGTATGTAATTTTAATGTAAAGTATTGGTCAAGACAGCCACTAAGCTTCTCTCATGCTAGTTACAATCTGAGCTGGGTCACTTAATTATTGAGTGACATGCACTTTCTTGTAGGAAAGAATCCTGTAAACTAGAATGTTTTGTATAGGAATAGACAGTGGTCCTTTTCACTGGTAAGTCAGATGATACCTTAAGGGTACAGTATTCTTTAATTTTTGATGTTAGGGAAACATGTAGGTTTAGAAGATCATATAAGACAAATATAACCCAAGCACTTTTGAAAGGTCCACATTCCTTATGTTGGAATGAGAGTAACTATCAGTCATGTGAGTAGCACATGCACCCTGAGAAGATGGTACTGCTGATTGAAACAAATTGAGATTAACATTGAAGATTAGATACATGATTGACTTGATTAAGATTTACATAGATGTGATGATCTTTGAACTTTTAGTAAAGGCACTCACAAGATAAACTTGTTATTTTGCCTTGATTTTTGTTAGATGGAAATACAGATTAACTTAGGTCCAGAGAATTTAAATTTTTGCTGAAAAAACATTTTCTGTTGAGCCTCCTGCTGTTCTACATTTCCTACCTAGTTATACAGACGGAATCCTACAGAAATGTTATTGATTAAACCTGTGTTTGTAGATTGTGGAATAAACAACATTTTCTTAAGAGATTGTTTTTGGTGACAGTGTTTGATTTGTTTACTTTCAGTATCATCTAGTGTTTCCTGCTTTGGAGCAACTAACTGAACACATCAAGAAACAAAAGGTGACTTAAGTCTATTACATGTTTTGATTTTATATTATTTTCTGTAAATTTGTGTATTATAGATTTTCTAACTGTGAATATAATTATTTAATTGGAAATAGGTAACTACTAACTTCAGAATCTAAGTTAATATTTTTTTACTGTCTAAGATTTGAACTTGTACATTTATCAAGGACATCTATGTACATGTGAATTTATTTAGTCCTAAGACTTAATCTGCTAAATTTAAACCATTTGGAATATAGAACAAGCATGTAAGTATGTTCTCTCATGAACACCTTGTTGTGTTGGAAGAAGGAAAAGTTTATTATTATTTAAATTACAAAATTGTAATATATCTATGACATTATAAAGTTATAATATAGATCAGTAATTTAAATATGAAATGTTACTGTGTTACACCACCTAGAATCTATGTATGTGGCCATTCAATATTTCTGTTAATCAGAGTTTGCTAGTTTTGGTTTAAAAGGGTTATTTATGTTTTCTTTCCAAGAAACTTGTAACACATGTAATAAGAGCATAACACATTATTTATAAGAAGTTGCAAACATGAACAGGTGGTGATTGACACAAAACTAGACTAAGTTATTCTTTATAGTGATAAATATCTAATGTCCTTCACAGACAAAACTTTTGAAAACTTTACAGAAATATCTGAAATAGCTTAGCAGTTTGTGCTAACCTCTTCTACTTTCACAAAACAAACACGCAACCAATACCAATGAATGACAAAACTTAGGACATCTGTAAACATCTAATAATAAAAGTCATCTGTGAACTATATAAGAAACTTTGTGTAGGCAAAATAGTAAGAGCTCTTGTGAAATGTACAAAAAGCACACAAATAATAAATGCATTTCTACCTGATGTTACTGACTTCTTAAAACCTGGATTCTGCTACAACTATGAAAGAAGCCCTTCTAATCCAGAACATCAAACTTTGATTCACAGACATACTGGATGCCTACTTACATAAACTCTAGATGGTGTTCCTGGGTAACACCTTTTTGTTGTTAATTGCTGACCTATAGTATGACTGTAATGTCACAGATTTGTTACAGTTTTGTAATTTAATAAGAAATATTTCTTCTAACACTGCAAGTGATTTGTAACAGAACATTTCTAATGTATTTAATTATATTAAGTGACAATGTCAATCTTATGTATGGGTGTAGGCTAAGGTAGGTACAGTAGGTGTCTGTGACTTGTTGGCGATAAATTCAAACAATAAATGGACAGCATGCACTACACTTGTTTGAAAATAATATATTCAAAACAAGATAAACGTATGTTCAAAAGTTCTTTACACTATGAAAATCACAGTTGTATCTTAAATACTATACAGTTCTTCTTGTCAAAAGTTCACTTAGGCTAATCTAATTACTGTAGAATCCAGTTGACAAGCCAAACTATTTTTATCATTATGGTATCAATGAATAATTCACTTACACTTTCTCCTGGGGAACCACAGTTGTATCCTGAATTTCCAGTAATCGTCTTCTTTTTGTCAAAGTCCACACAGATGGGTTCAATTAGTTTAGAACACCCTTTGACAAGACAAATTATTCTCATTATCTCTTTCAAAACTGTTAATCTCACTGTAGCATATTAGCCATTAGGCCATTCACTTCCATGCCAGTTAACATTATGTTTTCTTTTAACTTTTCTCTGACCAAACTTCTCTTTCATGTGACTTTACTTTACTCTGTTTTTGCTTGTCTGGTCGCAGCTATTTATACGTCTATCACTTAGGAACATGGACCAATTGTGGTGAATTTTCTAAATATAATGATATCTCAGCAAATAGGAAAGGTAAGAGGTTCATGTTTTATATTCTAGCTTGCCAATATTGGTAAGTTGAGCTTCTAATTTGTAAGAAACTATAGATATTGAATAGTGGGAGGCATACAATGTAATCTGAATGAAAGCAGAAGACAACATACCACATGTCCCACAAAAATCGATATTTAGCTATTTTTTTATACTTAATCTTAACCTTATCAGAATGTACACGTGTATTTTATAGAACCTTGTAACCACCATATAACCATGATAGTATACAGACTATAGCTCTGAAAGTACTTATCATATCTTCACAAAAGTTGGCAAGCTTTCAGTAAACTTAGTTTTCATAAACAGAAAATCAGAACTTATTAATTAAGTATTTTAATAAAATTTATGTTTAATAATATGGTGATTTTCATATTAAGTGTTAGAATACTTCATCTAAAAATTTTTAAATTCTGTAACACGCTAGTTTTATCTCATCTAAGCAATGCCATGAATTCTACCTTGCCCTCTCCAGTCTTTATACCTCACTCTATTGCCCCTTGTTACTCTCTCTATCTTCATCAATGTGCCCTCTATACCCACTCTGTGTATAAGCTCCCTGTTATTCTTTCTCATTCACTTTTTCTCGACAGCAAAAATTATGAAGATGGTCTTATGTCTTTACTGCAGGTATCTTTCAGCACTATTACAACATTTGCAACATTTCCTTTTGAATTATTTTAGATCTTTTTCGTGGGGCCTGAGTTTATTGTTTACTTTCTTGATTTTACAAGAAAAAAAAATTTTGGAGACATTATTTTAGAATATGGATACTTGCATTCATGTCTCAGACAGAGTCACCTGAAGCCCCTCCTCCACCACCTCATGATTCTAATATTACCTGGACATTGGGGGAGGAAACACCTTTGGTGAAGGACATACAGTTCTACATATGCAGAGGGGTAGAGTCTTACATGCGGTCTGATATTTTTTCTCCTATTGGCTCTGAGAACTAAGGTATTTTTTATCCAGCACTTTCCTTTTCTCAGACCAGCTACTCATTATCCTCGGACAAACATCCTGCCTTTTGCACCCATTTTTACAACTAGTATGCCATGTTTGTAATGTTTTGAGTATTTATCTTACGGCTTATGAATCTTCACCTTCTTTATTGGGAGAAACTAGTTCACTTGATTATTTAGTTCTGCATTGGCCCTAATGGATCTAAGAGAAACTCCTTTTCTCAGACAGTCTTCATTTTGCAGGAATTCCAGAATCCATGGAATCTCGAGCAGATGTGGCCCATCTACATTCTTCATTTTCTACACTGGCTTCTTGACTATTTCAAAGTTCTTCTACAGGATGGTTTATTACATCTCCCATTCATGTTTCCAGAACTCTTGCTTCAGTGCCACGATCCATTTGAACACAAGGTCAATTTCAACCTTACCAGTGGGGATCCTCCTCCAGGGTGGAGTGCAGATTTTGGCACTGGTGACTACCTTATGGGGTCAGGTCCTATGGGGTCTTGTCTTAGAGGGTTTGTGTCTGTATGTGAGACATTCACCACAGATCACTGGGTCATTGTACTTCTCAGGAGGGGATTGGGCATTCTATCCATGTCTCCTCCTCCTCTGTCTCTTTTACTGGTTGGCTTTCCACCCCCCAAAGACCCTCTTACATCCAATCATCGAGCACAAGCCATCTAGGATATTCTGCATAAAAAGGTCATAAAACTCATCACCGGTTATCAGCCTTTCTTGTCTCAATTGCATCCTCCAGCCTCCTCAGTTTACAATGGAGTCGTTTCTTTCCCTTCAGTGGCTCTTTTCCCTCGGACTATGGAGTACAAAATTCTATGTCACAGACGCTTAACTTCATGTCCCAGTTGCCGAGTCTTCAAGGCATTATCTCAGTTTCATGCTCTAACATTCGGCCTAGAATCTGCTTTTTATGTTTTTTTGCCAGATAGGCAGAGCTTTTACATGTCATCTTCACTCCTTCAGCATTCACACTCACCATTACATGGATAACTGGCTTCTTCTTGCCCCTTTCTGCCATTTGACAGAACTACACACTTGAACTCTGGTATCAGAAGTTGCAAAAGCTAGGTGTCTTATCAAAAAAGGAGAAATCTATTCTTAATCCCACACAGTACCTCTTACATTTAGGTGTGTTTTTCAATTCCTAACTCAGCTGGGGTCAATCTTCTCGTCTACTCCTTCAGGCCATGGAGCAGGCAGTTCTTCAAATACAGTTGCCTCCTCCACCAGCACAATCAGTTCTATCTCTTTTGGGGATGTTGGCATCCTTTGAATCACTCATTCCTTTAGTTTGGGCCCACAAGAGAGCCCTTCAATAGTTGTTACAGGACCAGTGGAACATTTGCATAGATGTGCTGGATTGTACAGTGAGACTGTTGGATTCCAGTGAGTTGGATCTCAGCTGGTGGTTCAACGGGTACAACCCAACTGTAGGTGTCCCTCTGCCAACTCCATGGTCAGAGACACATCTGTTCACTGATCCTTCTATTCAGGGCTGGGGTTCTTGTATAGACAATATGAAATTCAAGGATTATTGGACTGTGTAGGAAGCTTCTCTACAATCAATCTCTTAGAACTTTTAGCAGTTCAACTCAGGGTCTTGAGTTGTAGCAAGAGAAGGTGGTAATGCTTCAATCAGACAAATCCACAGTAGTCTCATCCTTTTCAAAGCATGAGTCACTCACTCCAGATCTCTTTTTTGTTTTTTTTCGACCAGTGGATCTTCTCCTTTGGGCACATAAGCACCAGAATGTTCTCGTCATGTTCCAGGGATAATGAATCTAGTGGCTAACCAGTTATCTCGTCCCAACATAGCTCTTCCAACAAAATGGATGGTTCTTCCTCAAGTTTTTCATTGGATCTGCTATTGTCTTGCGACACCACAGATCGAGGATTTCACCATATGTTGGAATGATCAGCTCCCATCCTTCTGATCTCTGGCTTTGGGAGTATAAGCTCTCAGTCAGGATCAGATCAGTTTTCATCTTTATGCATTCCCTCTTATTTGTTTGCTCTCCACAGTTTTGGCAGGCACTGATTCACTCCATGTCCTGTCAAGTTCTTCTGGTGGCAGTAAAATAGCTGGTTCAGCCCCGATTGCCACTCTTCCAGTAGATTCAGGAGTGTCTTCCCCATCCTCTCTGTCCATCTCTCTTATGTCAGCCTCGGACTTTTTTCATCCAG